AAACCTCTGATGGCATGATGACCCCTGGTAATTCCAATAATATTAAGAAGGATTGTCAACTTTTTCTTCATACGTGGTAGAAGGTAAAAATAATCTAAGATGCTTTTTTCATTGAGGTAACATTCAGACAGATAATTGCCATATACCATTTTAGTCAGAGGAGAGAGGCTCCCTATGAAAATCTTGTTTAATCTATAGGAACATCCAGGAATTCACCAAACAAAACTAAAAAGTTTCAACCTTTATCAAAGCATCATATAAAACAAATAGCATCCAATGGAAGCAAAAGAAACTGAAACATAGCACACCTATTGATTTTGTGCATAAGTTTATTAGAGATGTCATTAAGAACACCTGCCGGATTCACGCTTACAGACAAACGAATTTGGTTCGGGCAACCTAAAGTTTGTAGCTCCAGCAGAAGCCTAACATCAAGAGATGCAGATCAATTTATTTGGAAGAATAGGGTATCCAACTGATACATTTGAAAAGCAATAAACAACTTTCACCTTTTGTGTAATTATGTAAAACACAAATAGAAAGTAAAGTCACAATTCAAAATACAAAATTGTTATCCCAAATTGATAACTTCAAATCATCATTAGTGCTGTAATAGCTCACCGAATTAAAACTTGAAAAAAAAAAAAAAAAAAAAACCAGACTTTGAGTGCAGCGCCCCTTGATGGCTCTGATTTGGAGCAGGAAGAGATTAAGTCGCTAAAAGAAGATGCAAATCGCTGGAAGATTTTAGACAAATCCACATTTTTAACCCCCTAACCTCGAGTCATTTCTTCAATTCGAAGATCCATTAATCGGGTTGAACTAAAATCCAAAGCCTCACGCTAGTTATTTGTATAGTCCCAGGTCCAAACCAATTATTAGCGTACACTAAATCAAAGCAATTTGGATAGAACTCCATATTTTGGAAGAGCACAAAAGGTTGTAGGATCTTACTGCAGAATCCCAAAATGTTTTCAGATGTTATTGCCAGAACTGTAACGGAAGAAAATTCAAGAAATTAAAAATTCAAGAAACATAGTACCATGTGGAGGATCAGCCATTTTTGCCGTATGTCTTTTAGGTAAAATGATCGAATCTTTTCCAAACTGGTGGTTGGGTCTGCTTTCGGTCAGATCTGCACGATTTTTCGACCCCTTTTGATTAGCATCCTCCATTTCTTCTAAGGAGCTGACGATGAAGAACAAATTGAAAACTATTTCCCCGCGGTGGCTTGATCTTCTTCTTCAATATTGTTCACCAGATCCACATTTTCATTGCTAGCCAATTAACTGGCCGTTCATCCAATTCTCGGTGGTTCATCTTTGGCTTGGTCGGTCCCTGGTAGCTTTCTTCTCATTGATGATTCAGTCAGATCTGAATCTGTGTTGCTGCTATTTCTGTTGCCGGCTTGTTACCGTTTCGACGTCGAATAGATTCCCTGTTGTTGATGTCCCTTGCACTGATTTGAGTCTCACACGACCTCCTCATCTTTAGCATCCATTTAATTTTTCTGAAGCAATCGGCCAAGATTTAGGATAAATTGATTGATATTTTGAATTTGGCCCGGGATTTTAATTTGGGAACTAAATTAGCAAATCAAATCAAATCCATTTAGGATAGGATAGGATGGTAAACTGACGGAGGGCTTGCTTTTCATTTTTCTATGGATTTTTTTTTTGAATTTTTAGGAATCCACATGAAAGAAATCATTTTGTACTGAAAGTGGCCGTTGATGAGAAAATATTAAACGTGGAGCTGACACCTATCCTTCTTGTATGTTGCTTTAATTAAGTACAATAGATTCCACTTTTTTTTGTTTTTTTTTTTGTGCAATGGATGAGGCCAAAGCCTAAAACATTAAATCATTATAATGGCAAAAATTCACTTTACGTCGCAGTTTTACAATCTTCTAGTAGTCACGTCGCAATTTTACAATCCTATTCTTGTGCAAAAACTCTTTGATAGCTGGACTAAACTTAACCGAGACAACTCTTTTAACATTTTGAATAATGCTACTCGTGAAAAAATTAAATAGATAAAGATTGGGTGGACCTTATATTCCACTTTTGAATGACAATTGTTTAGTAAATTTATGTAGATTATTATCCACGAGGCCGGTCTCTGCGGGTTTATCTTATAAGTTTGACCAAAACTTAAACAATACTGAAAGTTATTGTTGTTATGTCGTGGCCAACATCTCACGTGATATTCCCCATCCTGCGTTCCCTTCTTCCTATCCGAAGGATTTTATTTTTTCCTAATTCGTTAATTAGATAATGATCAATCATATTTAGTCATAGTTTATAGTTATTAGTAATTATATTTACCAATATAAGGTTTATTGATTTTGTATAACAGAAGGATGTTAGGGTTAAATCAGTTATTGAGGAAATTTAAAAACACAAATACAATTATACCTAAGCATCTTATGATCACTTTCCTTTGCATTCACGTCGTATTAATTAGTAGATTCTAATTAATACACATCCCATTACTAAAAATAGCACACCGATTTGTAATGTGCCACCTTTGTGTTATGAATTACAATTGGGCGTTTCTGACAATCATAATAAATTTCCACTTTACTAGAATTATTATTATTATTTTTTTTTTGTGTGGATTCTATTAGATTTTAGATGATTGTATCAAAAAGCAAAACTAGCCATATACTTAATTAACTTTGTTGAACTCGGCCTTTATCTTTTGTGATTCATAGTATTGAATCAATTACGACGATTTAAATGAAATTCTGTGTTTCTAAAGAAAAAAGAAAGAAATGTTTTGAGTAGTACAACACTGATCTAGGTATTACTGTTCATCTAATCGTAGTCTTAATGTTCAACAACTTTCATCTTTCTATTGAGAATCGCAAGTTTTTTTTTTTTTGGCAACTTGATTCGCTTGGTTATTATTATCCAATTGGGGCGTTTGTTATTTATTCACAACTTTATCACCATCATAATAATTAATCACTTCAATGTCGACCATTTTTTTATTCTTCATTATTCCTTTGATAAAACTTTTCCAAATGTTGTTGTTACTTTTTTTAATTTTTAATTTCCCGGGTGGGATCACACATTTATTGCGCGCGCTTCAATAATTCTCAATGAGCTATTTTATAGAAAAAATCGTTTTTTGGCCATGGTGTCTACCTCTTCTATTAACACCAGAGATATAAAACAATTTTTATGTGTATAGTAAGAATAATTAATGATCTCTTTTGACGAAAGGAAAAAAAAAAAGAAGGAAAACAACTGATCGGCTAATCAAGTTTAACAATGTACTCTTTTTCAGTTTTTATTATAAGGTATTTTGATTTGTTATAAATCTCATTTCGTATGCTCTTCTAATTGAAAATAAAATATAAAAATTTTATTTTTACATTTACTGTGTTATTTCAAATATTATAAAATATTTTTAAAATTTTATTTTTTAATTAAATATTAGATAAAATTTAGAACAAATCGTTATAACAAGAGTACGTTTTCTGTAGAGGGCAAGAACGTTTACTCGGTTACTTAGAGCGGATCTATTATCATGAAGTTCGTTGGGGTTCAAAATAATCAGGAATGATCATAAAAATACCTGTAGAAACTTCCAGAAACCATCTCTTACCGGCATAATATGCTGCTACTATCTGCACTTCCAATTATTAGAAATTAATAACGAAGTCACGCGATCATTATTGAAACCCCCACCCTCCAATAAAAAAAGAGAAAGAAATTCAAATCAGAGACAGTTTACGATTCATCTAAAGAAAGCCAATGGTTTTTTTCTTTTTTTTTTTAAATTCATAACTTGTACTACACTTAATTAATTAATTTTAACGTCAAAATTCTTAAGCATTCATTTTTAGCTGAAATTGAATTTTTTTCCATCAAAGGAGAGGTTTCATACACGTCTTCTGTCTCAAAATGTTTGTTTAATTTTGTATTTTCTCCGTTCTAATATTATTTTTCAGTTTGAGATTTTATTTTTAATACAAATTTGAACTAAGAATAAAAATCTAAACTGGACAATAATTTTGGAACGGAAAGAGTGCAACTTTTAACACAAGTAACAGGACAAGCAAGAAAGATATACTGAATGTGATCATCGGTTTATTCAAAACATAAAGGGTAAAAATGAGTACTAAGTCGAAATAGTAAGTGTACTGAATTTTGATAAGAACATATTTTATCGATAAAATTATTTATTCAAAAATTCTATTTCCTGAATATAGGATTAATTCGGGTAGCAATTATAAACATCCCATATCTAAGTACATAAAATATGGTTACGCTCCCCTTGTAACTTCTCTTTGACATTATTATTATTATGGGAAAAAAAAGGATAATAGTAACTTCCTATGTGTCTTTCAACGAAATAGTTAATTTACTCTCAGCCCTCATAATCTTCATTCTCTCATTAATATTTTAATCTACAGAGGAATAGACGAAAACTTGCTTACAACAAGTCATAGAAACATACACAGAATAAGCTAAACGGGTAAGGCCCTAATACTTGTGTTGAGAACATTGCCCCTTCCCCACAATTTGATTCATTTTTTAAAGGGTAGCCATGTTTTCTTCCTTTTGCGTAACGATGAAATGACTTTTTTTTAATCAAATGAAATGGAGCATTCTTTTCTTTTTTGGTCGCCAATTAAGGTGATGACAGAAAAAAATAGTGTCTAGTCACAAATAAAATAACTTATTTGTCATCGTGCATGTGTGCCCATTAACAAACACTTAATTAGTAGTAACATTTTTCATCCATTACATAATGATTTTTAAAACACAAGAAAGTAATAATTATCGTAGTTTGTTTGAACCATATCAAACACTAAGAATTAAGAAGCTGTCTTTTACCGTATTATTTAACCTCACCTAAAAGCAACAACATTAATAAACAATTGTAATGTACTGTTGCAATTAGAAAAATTCGTCCACTAATTTCACTACTTTTTAAAAATAATTTTTTAATCGTTTGATTAATTAAATCTATACTTTTAGGTTGTAAGAATGGCTGCATCTGCCACTATCTCTCTCTCTCCTTTCTTGGCTTCATCATCATCTCTCTTTCCCTTTTCTCTCCACTCGATTCTCTTTGTTTTCTATTCGCTCTAGGGTTTGAATTCTTGTGCTTTCTTTAAATTTTCACCAGATATTTATACACCCTTTTAAAAAAAATTAATCCAATTTTTTTTTTATATTAATATCATACTTTAATTTAGTTTCTTGGATTTCCTGTTACTCTCTTTTTTGGTGTATGGCTGGTTTAGACTTAGGCTCAGCATCTCGCTTTGTTTCTCAGCTCCACAGGCCTGATCTACAGCTCCAAAGACCATTGGACAACTCCGAGGATGATTCCGGTAACCGGAACCAATATTCAGGCGAGAATGATGACGACAGCATCCACCACCATCAAGGGCTTGAGCTAGGCACTAACAACAACGCAGGAGAGAATGTTGCTGGCCGAAGGCCCCGAGGCCGGCCGCCGGGGTCCAAGAACAAGCCTAAACCGCCGGTGATCATCACCCGGGAGAGCGCGAACACGCTCCGGGCCCACATACTGGAAGTCAGCTCGGGATGTGACGTGTTCGAGTCGGTGGCGACTTATGCCCGGAAGAGGCAACGAGGGATTTGTATACTGAGTGGGAGCGGGACGGTGAATAATGTGAGCTTGAGGCAGCCGGCCGCGGCTGGCTCCGTCGTGACTTTGCACGGCCGGTTCGAGATATTGTCGCTTTCGGGATCCTTCCTGCCGCCTCCGGCTCCTCCGGGCGCCACCAGTTTGACCATCTATTTGGCCGGTGGACAAGGTCAAGTGGTGGGAGGGAATGTTGTCGGGGCTTTGATTGCTTCGGGTCCGGTTATTGTGATTGCTGCTTCTTTTTCTAATGTTGCCTATGAAAGGCTTCCTTTGGACGATGATGATTCCGTCGCGATGCAGCCGCCGGCCGGTTCTGGCAGTGGCGGTGGCGGTGGTGGAAGTGGTACTCCTACAAGTGGTGGTGGTGGAAGTAATCAATTTGCTGATCCATCTTTAGGGCTTCCTTTTCTAAATCTGCCACTAAATATGCCAAATGGTCAACTTCCGATGGAAGGAGGATGGACCGGAAACTCGGCCGGACGGCCACCGCAGTATTAGGTCATCTTGTGATCATATTAAAAGGTTAGGGAAATCAGTCCTCCATCAAGTCAACACCATAATCATCTCCATCTTGTACATTTATAGCTCTCTCTTCTTCTTCTCCTTTTTTATTTGATTTGGTTTCTTTCCTTTTTTTTTTTTTTTGGGGATTTTAGACTTTTTAGTTTGATTAACTCTTTGAAGTTTGATTTGTGAAAAATCCATCTTTTTTTTTTAAAGGTTGTTGGTCTCAGTAATCTTATGGTGGAACTACTGAGTGTTTGATTTTTAGATAAAAGAATTGAATTGAGTGTAGCTTTTTTAGTCTAACACTTCTAAACCACCATTGATTTGTTTAAAGCAACTTGTTCAAAGGAGACCAAATAAAAAATAAAGATGGTGTTTTACTAAACTTCATACTGTTATTCATCTACCTTTGCTTATCTGATATATTATTTCTTCTATTATTTTAAGTTAGATATATATGGATTGAATATGTAAAAAAAAAAAAATTGTGTTGAATTTTTGATGGATTCCTTTTTTGTAAAATAATCCATATGATCTATCTAGCCGTCATAAAATAATGTTAGTCTTAGGACAAGCATCACATCTTGTGTTCCCCAGGTCGGTAGGGGTGGCATGGGTTTAAAAGGATGCATGAATTTCTTTTTGTTGGTTCTTCCCCCTCTGCTACTTGCTTTAATTCTCTCATTCATCATCCTTGTTGGATACTGTCATTTCTGTTTTTGGATAAAGTTTTCTTAGGAAATTGATAATCAATTTGGGTCTTCTATGTGATTAGTCGTGTATGACTTAATTTGCACGAACAAGAATTAGTTAGCTCTGAATCAGGTCCATCTTCTTATTGTTTACACGGTGGTCTCAATAGTAAAATAAGGTTGTTTTATAATTTACAGACAAATCCAAAAAACATACAATTTCTTTATTGATACATTATTGATATACTCCCTCTGTCCTAAAATTATTGTCCAATTTGAGATTTCACTTCTAATATAATTTGAACTAGAAATGAAAACCCAAACTAAACAATAATCAAGGGACGGAGGGAGTATAAAAAGTCCGGCAATCTTGAGCTAGCTTCAAGATATATATAAGTAGAAACAGAAGAAACATAATACATCTAGTACTCAAGTCCACCTAGCTTCAAGATATATATAAGTAGAACCAGAAGAAACATAATACATGTAGTACCCAAGTCCCCAAGAGCCTTGGTTTTAAATAGTCTATGTAACTATAGTTAAACTACCACACATTAATGATGAATTTTAAACTAATGTTTTTATACTTGTATTGCAACAAGCATTTCTTCTGTTCTAAAATGATTGTTTTGTTGCTCCGTGCAACAAAAATGAGATCTGGGACTCTTTCTTTTACCCTACACCTCTACATTATCTATGCCACGAGGGAAGGGTTGATGAGACTCAATTTTTATACAAATCACTCTATCCTTGCATGATTACTTTTAATTATTCTTTACACCAAGATCTTACCAAAGATTCTTTGCTTAGAACAAATGATGAGCAATTAATTTAGTGTATAAATATTCAGGTTGTTGCTCCAAAGGCTAACCAACATGATTTCCATAATTTTTAAGTTCTGAACTACAGCTTGTTCAGATTTAGTATGATCATTTTCATTCTCAAAAGCTTTTAATGCTGAAGCTTTACAGGCGCACTGCCTCCTAATATGTTTAGCCAAAATACAATCATGGCTTCTGACAGAGATAACATCTAATTCAATTTTGGGTTAAACTCATGAGTTCAGTAGTTTATTATATTCCATCTGTCTCAGAATAGTCCACTATGTCTATTACTGCTACATACATATCCAATGGTTTAGTGTCCTTTGATATATTCTAGCTGCCATTTTCTTTGATGTTGCGATCTTGATTAGATCAGGAAGCTTTTTGCATGTGAGTTTAACAAAGCATGATGAATTTTTAAAAATCCTTCCTGTTAAATTAATGTAGTACAATAAATGTTATTCTTATTTTGAGACCGAAAAAGTGATATAAGAGAATTTGTTTTTAGAGATTGGAAATGACACTTGAAATTCTGGGAATCTGCTAAACCGATATGACGTGGTAGGTTTTATATGTCATCCTATTTCAGTCTCTTTATGTAAGTTTTCATTTAAGTTTCTAATTTAGAGTTGGGTAAAACTTTTCAAAATCAGGGTAAGAAATTATATATGGACTCAGAAAGTCTATGGAGACGGGAATTATAAATTCACCATAGAAAAACAAAAAAAAAAAGAAAGAGAAAAAGCCAATCAGCGAAGTTATTTATTGGCTTGAAGATAATCCATTCTGTTGACGGAGGGAACACACTATTGGTAACATTAATCAATAAAATGGGCAACCTTTCCATTTTTTATCCGAAACAAATATTCTTACTGAACTAAGCAGGATATTAATTATTAAGTCGGTGATATTCAAGGACAATAATTAGCATCCAGAGCAAAAAAGTGGCATTCTGCTTAAATTATCCCTTATATATCTAATGTTAATTGTATTCTCCCTTCCGCCAACTCTTCTCTGGCGGTTATGATTTTACTGTTCGGCTAGGCGGAACTCCAATCTTGCCGTCGCATCTGCAATACTACAATTAGATTGATTTTGAGTCTCAATTTCCTAAACTCTGCCAAAACCTTGAAGTATTTTCCAAGAACAATTGTCCATAAGTATTCTTTTTGTAGAGTAATGTCGCACTTTCACCTGTGAAGGAAAATAAAAGCAGAGTTTCTCTCTGCGGCTGCTTAGTATATTCATAAGCTCACTCCCACTCTTGAATCTCCATCAAATTGCCCGTGGAACCATTGAATTCTCCGAAAGAGCTTTTAAAATTCAGGAAAAGTATGTACCCGAGAAATAGGATTTGAAACATCCTTTCTTTAATTAGCTTTCTCGTTTTTATTTTTTCCGCAGAAAATTCTTGCTTTCACTCTCTTTATTTTCCGCACGATTTCGTCAATCTTTTCGGGTATTAGTTTTAATCGGAAAGATAGTTGTGATTCATGACACAAGCGGCATACCTAATTGAATTCCTAATTCCATAGATCGAACCTAAAGATGATGAATATTAGGGGTCCTTTCATCTTAGTCTATAAAGATGGCAAAAAAAAAAAAAAAAAAAAAGTTTGAGAAGAGGACAAATGATCGTATTTGTGGTGGAGCAAAGTGGCTTCGGTTTGGAGCAGCATGGTGGTTACGACTAACGAGGATTGGGGGAGATGAGGTGGGAGAAAAATTAACTTAGACTTGTTAGGTTAATATAGAAAAAATATCACTATTTTGTTCTGGAGGTTAATTATTGCCCTGACAATATCGCTAATCTAATTATTATTTTCCTATATATAGATCTGATTAAATGCTATAAATGATAACAAAGACCCCGATTTGAGTTAAACCTAATTTCAATGAATTTTGAAAAAAAGAAAAGAAGGAAAAGAAACTAATTCCAGTTCTTGAATAACCAAAAACGTAATCCAGGTCAGGAGGCTTCTTGAAGTAGGTTCAGATTTGGATTTCCATTCAGGTTTTGATGTCCAAAACACGCCAAACCACTGTTTTCCTGTCTGACTGCGTTATGGCAACATAAGTAATCATAATGTACAAAGTTTTTTGGCCTTCCCATCTTCATAATAACTTGAAATTAATTGCATTATTATGCGATGAAATACTGTAAGTGATTGGACACAAGTTTTAAATTTTAATGATACCAACCAAGCTTTTGACGTAACTAAAGCCTGTTTCTATCTAGAAACCTAATCGTACAATTTTACACCTTTAAAAACAATAAAGAATGAAAAGAGAAGCCAAAGTGCTACTTTTCGCTACAACTATTTTCTAGGTTATAAAATACTCGCACTGTCCCAAAATTATTGTCCAATTTAGGTTTTCATTTATAGTTCAAATTGTACTAAAAGAGAAATTTCAAACTGAACAATAATTTTGGGACGGAGGGAGTACTTCTTTCCCTCCTAATCTAAGTTACGAAAGTTAAAACTGAATTAAATCAATGTCTTATAAGTAGGAATAGGGAGTAAATATATACACCGTAACACATTCAAAAGGTTTGCAAATTAGCTACATAGCAAATATTATATCCGTCTAAGAAAGAATGATTCGTTTTGTTTTATAGATTTTTTTTTTTATATTGCATGGTTTAAATTCAAAAAATAGATAATTTTTTGAGATAGAGAAAATATTATTTTATAGATGCTGCGGAAATATGGTTTGAAAATTTCTTGGTTGGAGAAAAGTTCTTCAAAATACCACTGACAAAATGGAAGTTGCCTAGTTGGCAACAAACGAGAATAAAGTACTGGAAAACGAGTATTAATCCATTTACAAACGGCATTTCCGTTGGGCCAAGATTTAGCAGGTCATCTACTCCTCTTCGAACCCGTTTAGAAATTGTGGTGCCCGTCTGTCTTAGGCCCAGAACAGCATAATTGAGGGGGAAATTTCTAACAAATATTAACATTTTTCTGACTATTACATTGATATACCGATAAATAAAAAAATTTCAAATTTACAATTGGATAAACTCAAAAAAGTCAATAATTTCATTTTACATGAATCTTTTTTTTCCGCATCCAAGTTTTCGTTGGATAATAAAATCTACCTATCAATTAGGAAATAGATAGTACTATATAATTTAGTCCACTCAGAGCTGGCACAATGCATGTTGCGGTTTCAAGCGAAATTTGAATCGGGTTCCTCTAATAGTCGGATTTAGATAAATAAAATTTTCATTAAAATACTTTAATACCTAAAATATTAATTTAATTATTATAATAATGTAAGAAGGTTGCTGCATTGCAACTTTAGAATGGTGGAAACAATTTGAAAAGTACCTCTATGACATTTTTTTTTTTTTTTTGGAAAAGAGGATACCAAATTGAATCTTAACTCATAACATATTTCTAGTTTCATTATATGATTTCATCATATTCTGTTGGCTGCTATTGAAAACTAGAATAATAGTTTAATATGATTATATTATTATTGCAAAGAGAGTTGAATTATTAATAATACATAGTATGTTATGAAATTAAAAAAAATGAGTACGTATTTATTGAGGGACAAAATGCTAGTCTTTTTTATTATCTTTTCAATAATAATTATAAAATATTTTTAAGAAAATAATTATAGTAAACAAAATCTTAAAAAATGAGGCCCTAAATAATATGATATACCTAAAACCCGAACTTTAATAGCCTCTCCTTAAAGCCGGCCCTGGGAGGCTGGGCCCACTTCGACCGTTACATCGTGCAAGAAATGTCGATGCATTTGGTTAAAATACTACTGTCATAAACTGGTACAAAATCATAGATTTTGGCTTCCCTCAAATTTCCTATTGACTTTGTAAAATTCACAAAAGCAGCCAACCTCAAATGTTATTCTACCAAATTGTTGTTTGGAAAATATTTTATTTTTATTTGGTTTTGGATTTAGGAGGAAATTTAAAATGTGGTTTAAGTAGAAATTTATAAAGTTATTTGGATAGTATTTTAAATAAAATAATATTATTAATAACCACCATCGGACCACTTCCATCCACTGCCATACCACTCCCCTCCAACGCCGGTCGACGATGATCCGGCGGTGGGTAGAAGTGGCCCGGCGGTGGTTATTAAGAATAACAAAAAATAATTAGTAAAATAAGTTTTAAAAATAAATGAAGATGTTGCATGAATGGTGTTAAATTTCCTTTTGGTATAGACTATCTGTGTTTAAGTGGGAAAGGAATTTTTTTTTTTTTGGCCTTCAAAAGGCTGGGCAAACAAGCACTTAGAGACTTTTATATTGATACTCATAAAATAATTAATTATTGGACTATCATGCCATAACGAAATGTGAAAATGATAAAAACCATTGAATTTAATTATTGTTCATTAGAATTTCTCCTTGGCTTTGATAATGAGATGAAAACATTTTCGGGAAAAATTTATACAAAAAATTAAAATTTTGAGACTTCTGGCATAAGAAAATAGGAATCAATTAATAACCAGACATAAGTACAACTATAAAAATAAAATTTAAAATGGTACAAAACAAAAGAATATTATCTTTGTCGACTTCCTTGTTGACTTTGATAAGTAGATGCAAAAAACAACGGGAAAATTTTCCAACAAGTTTTAACATTTCGTGAATTTAATTTTATGCTGACATGGATAAATCAAAATATATATCAAAGTAAAAACATGAGAGTTTAGTTGTTCAATTGTTTTACCCGATTAAAAATATTATGAAGTTGCCATGGTTACATTCTCTCCCACTTCTTCTCTCAAGGTGACTTGAAAAGACTACTTTCATACGTCCTAAATTCTAGTTGCTGTTTAGTCTTGGCTCAATAGCTTCGTAGTTTTATTATTATTTGATTAAATAAGCAACTGTTAGATGTATCCATCTCAACTTTCAGTTTCAACTTAAAATCTACAAGCACACATTGAAACATATACTCCCTCCGTCCCGAAATTATTGTCCAGTTTGGATGTTCATTTTTAGTACAAATTGAACTAAAATTTAAGATCCAAACTGGACAATAATTTTGGAAGAGAGCATATAATTAAACTATATATATAATTATCTTTTAACAACTTGCTTCTTGTTTTGTACTTAATAGTTCATAAAATACTTCTTTAAGAGTTTTATTTTTCAGAAAAATCTATTTCACTCAAATTTGGATTAGCCGGACATCAAATGAGAGTATATAATTATGAAAAAATTTGGATTAAGGGCAGTAGATAAAAAATAATTAATAAAGAGGACAACACTATTATAGTGATCTAAATCAACATTAGTATAAAAAATTTCTCTCTCTTCTCGAATGTCCTCTGGGCGCATGTTAACATCTTGAGTGCTAACTTACGCTTTCCATGGCGAAAGGAAGAGGGAAGGGTGGGAAATCGAAGAAAGTTACTGAAACAGAAAGCGTAGGAGATGGGCAACGGGAATTAATCAATATGAAGGAGAAAAAAGCAAGCAAAAAGTAGATCTGGGCAGAATGGCTAGCTCATCGGGCATGAAGAAAGGGCAACGATTGGAATCAAAGATGCAATTCAGGGAAAGGAGAGGGGATTGGAAGAGCAGACAAAAAATGCTGAGTGAATTGTTGGGAGTAAATACAGCAAAAAAGCTCGATTCGCCGGAAGAGAAAGAAAATCAAAAACCTAAATCCAATCCGGTGTGGGATAAGTCGGAAACCAGAAGATTTCGGAATCCCGCCGTACC